CACCACCACCACCACCACCACCACCACCACCACCACCACCACCACCACCACCACCACCACACCCACCACACTACTACTACTACTACTACTACTACTACTACTACTATTACTACTACTACTACTACTACTACTACTACTACTACTACTACTACTACTACTGCTACTACTACTACTACTACTACAACAACTACTACTACTACTACTACTACTACTACTACTATTACTATTACTACTACTACTACTACTACTACTACTACTACTACTACTACTACTACTACTACTACTACTACTACTACTACTACTACTACTACTACTACTACGACTACTACTACTACTACTACTACTACTACTACTACTACTACTACTACTACTACTACTACTACTACTACTACTACTACTACTACTACTACTACTATTCTTGTGATTTCACAGGTTGGGATGCTCTCTTTGAGCCGCCGCCGTTTGGGTCGCTCAAGTCTTGAGTCTGTGGTAGAGGCTCACCAACCACGCCCTGACTGGCGTAGTCTCCTACCTGACCAGGTGCCCGCAGGTGCCATCTTGCCCTCCGCGCCCGGCCTGCCACGTAGCGCGCGGCACGCCTGCCGCCTGCCCGAGCTGCTCGCTGCAGTGCCCTGCTATTCCGCCGTGCGCGGAGGCGGCGCGCGTCAGCTGCCCGGCGGTTGCCCCTTGTCCGGCGCGCGCCTGCCCGGCGCGCGCCCCGAGCACGGTGTCTGAGCCCTCGCCAGGCACGGCCGCGCCGGAGGCCGCCTCTGCGCGAGCGCGGCTGGCATCTTGGTCGCCAGCGCGGTGGTCGACGCGCGTGCGCTGGCCTCGGCGCTGGTGGGCGGCGCGGTCGGCTTCGCGTTCACAGCGGCCTGCTTCGGGTGCTGCTTCGCGGCGCTCAGGAGGGACGCCCGCCCTCGAAGCTGCGGGTTCGCTGGTCTGGACGATGGCGGCAGTCGCGACGACACGCTGGGTGTACGTCTTTTACGCAGGCGAGCAGCACTTGAATCTGGAGCGGGTGGCGTTGCCGGACGTGGACCATGTCATCTACACGGCGCACGGTGATCTGTACATTGTCGCCCTGACCAACAATCCAGATGTGTAGGCGACGAGGTTTGGCAGCTTCGACCCGCCGCCGCCCCCCAGGATCGCAGCCAACCATGTCTACAGGTGCCGCGCAGAGCCCACGTAGCGCCTGGGGGGGGTTCTCGCGGAGGCGCCCGTGGCTCCAGCTTGTCCCGCCCTGAGCTTGCTGAGGTGCGTCGTGCCCGCAGGGGCCGGCCCCGACACTGGCAACCTGGCGGGCGTGTGGCGCGCCGTGGCTTGCGAGGATGGCCACCGCATCGGCGACGAGGCGCCAGGCCGCGTTCCGACAGCGGCCCGCGTCCAGGACAGGGACTTCGACGTGCTGCCCGACGGCCAGGGGCTCTTCGTCGAGCTGGTGCCGCCTGCAGCGCTGGAGTCCTTCTTGCGCGCGGCGGCCGATGCAGACGCGAGGGTCCTGCCGATCGCTCGCGAAGCGCAAGGCCGTCGAGGCGTGCCGCGGCACAAGATGGTGGAGATGACGCGTCAGGAGAGCTTCGGATCGGACTGGACGCTGCCCGGGCCGCGGACCGCTGGATGGCGCAGGGACAACCTGCAGCGCGAGGGCCTCGGCATCGAGGGCCACCACGAGCACGTCCGCCAGATCAACAAGCTGGGCGCCACCGACTGGAGTGTCCAAAAAAACGACCCACTGTGCCAGCAGATCAAGGCTGCCACGTGCCAGGACCTCCTGGATGGCACGAACTTGATCAGCATCGAGATGCAGGTCATGAGGCTCCAGACCCTTGAGTTCGACCACTGGGCTTAAGCCAAAGATGCCGAGAGCAAGGGTGTGTTGGAGGCAAGCCGAGTCTGGAAGAGCAGTCCGCGTTCTCGGGGGTCTCCCGCTTCACGTCTTCGGCGATGGTCTCGCCCGACCTGATCGAGCACGTGCGCGGCGACGTGGAGAAGGAAGCGAAGTTGCACAAGAGTCTTCGCCTGGCCCCGTGAGGAGAGAGAGTCCGCCACTCGCATGGGCTTCGGAAGGGGGGCCACGGCGCGACCACAGCCCCTCCGTCAGGGTCCACACGGCTCGCCCACCATCGCTCAGGACGTCCACGATTTTGGGAGACGTCGGCCCCGGGACATCTTTCCTCTGCCGCACCCGCCAGCCGTCGAGCCGCTCGATGCGACTGTTGTTGTTGCTTCACCTGCCAGAGGGACACGGATGACATTGGGAAGAGGAGCGCTGTCTGTAACGATGCGACTCGCGCCGTGGACTCTTTGAGTTGGCTGCCGGATCCATCGTTCACCCGTGGACGTGACCGCCTTGCCAGACATATGGGCCCGTCACTTGCTCAGAGCTCGTGCCACGCTCAGATCGTGGAGGCGGTTCGGTATCTTGGTGCTCCGCCGTCTTCCCCTTCCCCGCAGAAGCGCCGGCGCAGCTTCGCGTGGCCAGGGGCGCTTACACTGTCGAGCAGTCGCCCCTCGGACGCTACGACCCCGCGCTCCTTTCCTTGCCGACGTCAGTTCTGCCCCGGTCGCCTCCGCAGGGTTGCCGACAGCCGTCGCTCCAACAAGGTGTTCGCCGAGCCCCTGGGCGTCCGCCTGGCCACTGGCGACGCCCTCGGACCCCTGGAGATGGCTGACGACGATGTTCTGCTCACGACGGAGGGCGCCGACCTGAAGGAGGCCTTATACCACGTGGACTTGCCGGAGGAGCTGCAGGCCTGTCCGCGCTGGTACCATCGGCGCCAACAGGGTCGGGGGCAAGAGTGTCCCGGCGTCCGCCAGGCTCTTCCCGCGCTTGCGGGTGGCCCCCATGGGTTGGTCGTGGGCCACGTGGTGAGGCCAGTCGGTGATGGAGCGCGTCGCCGAAGCTGCAGGGTGCGATGATGCCTCGCGGCTTCGTGCTGGGCGCCCTGCGCCATCGCTGCACCCCGCGTGCCACCTCGAGTACGTCGACAACGTCGTGAGCATCGGTCACGACGAGACGGCCGTCAGGACGGCGGTCCCCAGCGTCATGGAGGAGTTGACGCGTCGCGGCTTGGTCGTCACGCTTGAGGCGCACCCCGATGTCAACTAGGGCGAGTATGCCGTGCTGGGGCGGTCGATCACGAGTTCGGGCCGCCTCTCGGCTTCTGCGCCCAGGCTCCGGCGAGTTCGTCTGGCAGCCCGTGGCCTCCTACGGCGAGGTCGTGCTTCTGGCCGGGACATTGAACGCGCGCTGGGCCACATCCTCCTCCTCACCCTCGCACGCCGTGAGGGGTTCAGCCTCCTTGAGGCGCGCTTCCGCTTCGTGCAGAAGTGCTACCACCAGGAGGTGCCCCTCTGGTCTCAGGTTAGGGGGGAGCTTCTGGCCTGGGATAGCGTTGCCCCCCTAAGGTGGCGTGATCTCCGTGCGCAGTGGTCTCCCTCTGTCGGTTGCGTGGGCGCCCGCCCTGGGGGTTGAGCGCCTGCGACGCCGAGTGGGAGGTGGCCACTGTTCGGGAGGTCGGGCGTCATAATGAGAGGTGGCGCAATGGTAGGGCTGAACGCTTGCCTCCTCGTCTTCGTGCTCACGCTGCCGAGTCTGCCGCCGACGCGGTCGCAGCCTGCGGCCTGGGGCTCGAGGCCGTCTTGCCTCCGCCCGCCCGTCAGCCAGGCGACGGCCAGCCCATCGGCCCGCGTGTGGATCGTGACTCCCTCGCCTTTTCCTGAGGTTCCCTCGAAATATTTGGACACTTGCTCATGGCGTGCCACACACAGGTCGCCGTGAGTGGCATCGTCTCGAAAGGTTGCCTGTGCTGGAGGCCCGTGCGGCCCTCCATCATGTTCGCCCTGCGCTGCGAGCTTCCCGGAATCATGGTCAGACGCTGCTCATATTTGGAGATTCGCTGGCCTCTGTCTCTGCTGCGTGCAGGATGCGAGCTCACACTCACACCATGTTGTCCATCATGCGTCGAATTGTACCCTCTCAGGAGCGTCGGGGAGCTCTTTCTCGTAAACGTTGGATCCCGTCTGAGGACAATGCGGCCGATGGCCCGTCAAGGGGCCGAGGGGGGCCCAGCCTGCCGCCTGCAGTTGTATTGGAGAAAGGCCCCAACAAGTCCTCCGAGCCCGGAAACTCCAGGGGCCTCTCGTCATAGACAAGGTTGTTGTCCCGCACGGATATATACGTCAGCACGCGCGCGACGGAGATGGAGGCCAGCACAGACAACAGCACGGCCATGACCTGCACGAGAGAGGAGCACATCATCACGCACGTGGCCAGAAACCAACCTAAAAGCACTATGACACGGTGGGGGCGGAGAATCACCTACAGCGCTGCGGCCCTGATGATAGCCACCTCGAGGGAGTCTTGGGACGTCGTCACCGCGTCCGCCCTCGGCCACTTCGAGGCCCGAGAACGTGTCGTATCCTTCCTGATGTTGCGATTCACTCTCCTGCCAGCAGTGCTCTCGCTCTCCCCAGTGATGAGCTCGGCGTTCCCCCAGGGCCCTCTGCGCAAGCGTCCTGCGGCAGCCTCGGACGTGCCCCCGGCAGCGGCGACGCTGGCGCGCGCGGCACCTGGGCCTGGCAGCCACCGGGTGGACTAGCCTGTCCTCCGGGCTTCGTCAGAGAGCCGCCAGGCATGCCTGCGCTCAATGCCGCGTCGGTGAGAACCGCTGCGGGCTCCAGGCTTACGCCAGCATGCTGGGCTTCGACGCCTGGGTGGGCCAGAGGCTCTGTGCCACCAGCGACCCAGCGCAGCTCGACGGGGCCGCGCGCGACTACCTCAACCACCTCTTCGAGCAGGGTTACCACCAGACTTACGCCAACCGCATGATAGCGGCAGCAGCCTGGCGCGATCCGCGCTATGCGAAGACGGGTCCCCTCGACCTGCCGCTCGCGAAGCAGGCCGCCACGGGATGGCGCAACCTCGCGCCGCCTCGCAGCCGCATGGCCCTGCCGTACGAGGTCGTCGCCATGATAGTCAATTATCTTTCGCATCATCAGAGCACCCTGGGGGCGTTCGCGATTTGGCCCCTCTTCGAGATCTACGGCCACCCAGGAGAGATTCACGGGCTGCGGCTTCAGGACGCGGCGCTGCCGTCGGCAGCTGCCTCGGGAGCCCATCGCTACGCATCGGTGACGCTGCACGCACAGGAGGTCGGCGACGTCTCCAAGACAGGCGAGTTCGACGCCTCGGTGCGGCTGGATCTCGACAGGCAGGTGGGCCTCACCGAGGGACTGCTGGGAATGGCGGCGGCGCGCCGCCACGGGGGGGGGCCCTGCGGCCGCGCCTCTCTTCGCTGTCAGCCAGCTCGAGGTGGCAGACGCCTGGCGCAAGGCCGTGAAGGCGCTCGGCTTGGCGAAGCTCGGGGCCTGCCACGTCTACCAGCTGCGCCACTCGGGCCCTAGCCACGAAACGACTACGCGACCTCGCTGGGGGACCTCGAGCAGATCAGGCGCCAGGGCAGCTGGAAGCCGTGGAGCTCGGCCAGGAGGCACGAGAAAGGCGGGCGGCCGACCGAGCTGCTGCACAAGCCGCCTGCCGCGCAGCGCCGGCACGCAGAGGCGCGCGCCGGGAGTCTGCGCCAGTCACGCCACGGCCTGCCCTCGCCAGTGGCGCCCGTCTGCCTCCCCCGCCAGGGATTGTTAATCTGTTCTCGGGAACAGGTGGTTTTGCAAAAGCTGTGGCCCATTCAGGCATGCCAGTGCTTGTGTGGGACACGTCGCTGGGTGAAAAGCATGACCTTTCTCGGCCCTGTAATCGTTCGCTCGTCCTGTCCTGGATGCGGGCAGGTCGCATCAGAGGATGGCATGCTGGCGTCCCTTGCAATACTCTGACCAGGTGCCGTGACCATGGAGTCGGGGCCCCTCCTGTTCGCTCCGACATCAACCTCCTCGGCTTCCCCGGCCTTAAGTCTCACTTTCAAGCGATCCTTGTCGTGTCCAACATTCTCAACAGTTTCATCGCTACACTAGCGTGCGTCACCCTGACTCACAAGATCCCGTGGAGCGTTGAGAACCCTCAGAGTCCAGGTTGCGGTTGCTTCCCCGCTTCAAAACCTTGGCGCGCCGACGCGCTGCGGCCTTCCATATTACTTTCACGCGTCTGTGGGGCGCCCCGCGAAAAAAGGACACGGGGTTGATGTTCGGCGACCTCGACCCGGGGCCGTTCAGGGACTCTCGTTGTATAGGCTCAAGACGGGGTCTTTGTTCTCGCAGCCATCGGCCCCACCAGCAGCTCCAGGGCTTCATGCCCCGGGGCGGGTAAAAAAAAGCAATGGACCGAATGCCCTCGTAAGTTCTGTGCAGCGTTGGCACGTCTCTTACATAATGCCGAGGTTCGAGCCTCGGCCGAAGTCATTCAGAAGTCTCTCGGTTAGTGTGCCTCTCTTTTCCGGCGTGGCCAGCTCGCTCTGCAAAATCGGGAGCATCTCTGGTGATTCTGTGCACTTGATGGCGGCGCCGCCATCGAGTGGCTTGAGCGCGTTGTGAACGGGGCGGCCTGCCCCGAAGGCAGGATCCTGGCGAGCTCAATCTCTTCTTGCACTGGCAGAAAAAGTGCGCTCAGGATTGTCGTGATTTCACGGGTTGCCGATGCTCTCTTTGGGCCGCCGCCGCTTGGGTCGCTCAAGTTTTCCGCCTCCCCCTCTCCTCCTCCCTTCTTTCTTTACCAAGTGATTTTGTTCACTGGATGGCGGTGCCACCATTGAGTGGCTCGAGCGCGTTGTGAACGGGGCGGCCCGCCCCGAAGGCTGGATCCTGGCGAGCTCAATCTCTTCTTGCACTGGCAGAAAAGTACGCTCAGGATTAAATATTAGTTGTACTACTATCACTACTACTACTACTACTACTACTACTACTACTACTACTACCACTACTACCACTACTACTACCATTAATACTGCGACTACGACTGCTTCTACTACGCCTGTTAGTGCTATTATTGTTGTTTCCTGCTACAACTACATCTACTTCGGCTGTTTCCTCTGGTTTCTATCACTATGCCAACTACGTCGACCACTACTACAACTATGATCACTGCTACTACTACGAGTGGGACTACTACTATCAGTGTTATTATTACTACTACTACCACTATTACTACTACTACTACTACTACTACTACTACTACCACCACTACTACTACTACTACTACTACTACTACTACTACTACTACTACTACTACTACTACTACTACTACTACTACTACTACTACTACTACTACTACTACTACTACTACTACTACTACTACTACTACTACTACTACTACTACTACTACTACTACTACTACTTACTACTACTACTACTACTACTACTACTACTACTATTACTACTACTACTACTACTACTACTACTACTAACTACTACTGCTACTACTACTTACTACTACTACTACTACTACTACTACTACTCATACTACTACTACTACTACTACTACTACTACTACTACTACTACTACTGCTACTGCTACTGCTACTACTACTACTACGACGACGA